TGTCCTAGAACTATGTCCTAGAACATAGTCCTAGAACATAGTCCTAGAACATAGTCCTAGAACATAGTCCTAGAACTAGTCCTAGAACCCTAACCCAAAAACCAAAGCCACTCGGTCTTGCCAGGGGTCAGCTGAAGCCTGTTGTTCCCCATCCAGTCCCTCACAGCCTCCAGGCACTGGGATGCCTTCACGGCATTGCTTAATTTGCCTGGGGCAGAAATGGGGAACACAGTTCAACTGGGTTGATTGAACTTCTTAAAGAAGCAACAGCAAGCTTACAGCCTCCATGATGAAAGATTAATTGAAACCTTGGGGAAAAGGGACCACCAAACAATCCTCTCATTGCCGAAAGGATGAACAAAAACATGGTGGATTTTACATTTCTTAATTGGTATTGTTCTGCGTATTTTAGGTGATTGGTTCTTTTGCTGCCCCCTGACCTTTTGTCTTTTCCCTTCCTCCCATCCTCCCAAGCCAGTTTGAGCGGGATGTGATGATCTGGAATAATAAGAAGTTCCTCTCCAAGCCACTGCTGGTGAAAGAAGACACCGCGATCCTGAAGCACCGGCGCTGGTTCTCCCAGTTTTATAGCGAGAACAGTGGGAAGCTCAATGCTCAGAAGTGCAAGCTGGATTGGTGACTGCCCCCACTTAGTTTTAGAGCCCACCCAATACCTTCTTCCACTTGTAGGGCCCACAACCCCGTGGGAGGAAGGGGTGAATCTTAGTTTGAGGAGCAAGGGAAGTTCCTGGGCCAGTTCAAGCAGAGATGGGGGAGAATTTGGCTCACGCAACACTTGCGTTGGTTTGGGGTCAGGCTCATTTTTATTCCTGAAGCATTTGGAGTGGGTGCCCCCCCTGAAGAAGACCCCAGCAGCTGCTTTTTGCTGGTGCTTATGATGGCCATGAGTTCCTTTTGCTTGTTTGCCTCTTGACAAAACTGAGAACATAAACTTTACCCAGGATCCTGCTTTTCAGCCTCAAGTGCCTTTGTAAGCTTGAGAAGAAAGCTTCTACCTGTCTGTAGGATATTTTGCTCCACAACAGGGGCGTGGAGTAGGAACGCTGCCCCCAGCAGGAAGGACAGACTGAGGGAGATTTGTTGGTGGGAGGAAACATCCAGAAGTCGACAAGGCGAGATTTTTCAAACCTCTCCTTTTTGTTACGCTAGCGGGATAGGAGCAAATCGACCCAACTTTTCTTTCACTGCTCATTTTGTTAAAGAAAGTATGCTTGGAAATAAGATTCCCCCAACTCAGCAGAGCATAAATCGGTCAAGAACCAAAGCACTTTTGCAGGTATGACTTTTAATTAAACCCTGTTCAACTGGGTGGTGAAGAAAAACACATCCAGAGTGTGGAGGAAGTCTACCTCTTTTAAGCCTAAGTCAGAGAAATCACCAGCACCACAACCAAAGATAAACAGTGCCCTTTCCAAACAGCATTTACATTCTCAAAAAGGAGCCGCGAGGGGCAGTGGGGACTTTACAGTGCCATAAGCCATTCCTTCCAGCTGGGGAGAGAAGGCAGCCAGGAGTGGCAGCCTGACAGTTTCACTGAGGTGCCCCCAGAACCAGCTGAGCTGTTTTCAGCAGAAAAGGAGGCAATTGTGTTTCCTTCTGTTTGCAAAGTCCACCTAGGCTCAGCCATTTGCTTTCTCCCCTCAACTCCCCCCCTCTCCGGCAACTCAGCTCTCCACTTCCTCCTGCTCCTCCTCGTTTTGCTGCTGCTGCTGCTGCTCCTCCTCATTTTGCTGCTGCTCTTCCTCCTCCTCCTCCTCCTCCTCCTCCTCTTCCTCCATCCTCTCTCCCTCCTCATTTTCTTCTTCCCGATTCTTGTCAGGGTCTTCAGAATCTTCCTTCTTCTCTTTGTCTTTTTTCTTGAGCTCTGACGCTCCCCTTTTGCCCTTCTGCTCGTTCCTGTAAGCTAGAAGATCAACACCAAGACACACAGCATTAAAAGATTTGTTATACACCAAAGCAGGAAGTGGATGGGTGCTATGCCTGCTACTGAATTAAAGTGATGCAAGGAAGAGCGTAACGGGTGTTGGGCACGAGAGCAGTTTTTAGGAGGTGAGGGGATATCATTGTGCTTTATTGCAGCTTCTGTAGAAGCGTGGCTCTGGGGAGTTCACTGAAGTCTGTGACGGAGCATGAGTGGATCCCTTGGGGGGAATCAGTCCAAAGAGTGAGTCAGAGCTGAATCCTTTCCCTTATCTCTAAGCCACTTAAAAGCATTTTCTTAAGGAAAAATAGAGTATCTCTGAACAGTGGAGTCAGCATTCTAGCAATGAGGCTGCCAGGATGAGGCAGCAAACTTCAGAGCAGGATAATTCCTGCAGGCAGAGTTTATTCCGATTCTTCGGTTTTGATACCAAATCATATTTTGGTGCAATATTGCTATCTTTCCTAATTTTGTTTTGCTTGGGAGAATTTTTAAACAGAAAAATGGCAACCGTGTTCAGACCTCTGCACTGGCCCTTGGCAAGCAACTAAAATTAAGTTTTAGTTTAAAGAAGCAAACGATGGGAGGGGAACAGCATCAGAGGGCGAGTGCAGAAGACCGGCCGCAGGCTGCTGGACACTGACCTTCCAAGGATTCCTTTAGCGGTCCTACAAATCGCTGGAATTCCATCTCTTCCATGGCAGAAATAACATCGCCAGCATTCAGTGTTTTCCTCTTCCCCTTCCTTGCAAAATTATTGGCACTAATTCAAAAACATAAAGGCAAATACATATTCCCCAGCACGGCGGAAAGTTTTCCACAACGGTACTTCGGTAAAACTGGGTTCTGGGAATGCCTCCTCCCGTTCAATTAATCCCAACCTCTGCGGGTGGAAATCGGACGACCCCCCGCCCGCGACTGTCCGCGGGGACGGGGACGGGGACGGGCGGCCGCCGCCGCC